AAAAGTTTTATTTTAGTAATTGGGTCAATTTTTTTCAACTTATATTCATTCAATTGTAGGTATTACGTTAGAAACGATAATTTTATTTGATCAATTTTACCTGTTCTTCAGTGAAGCCATTTTCGACTTTCATCAGATCTCCTTTCACTTCTTCCATCAAAATCATCGGCGTTTCGGTGCTGAGATCGAACGAGCCATAGATTTTCGGGAATGCGATCGGTTTCTCTGGCACTAAATGTTTAAGAAATTTCTCCTCTCCTCTAAAACATAAAATTCATTTCTCACATGATTTCAGCCACGTGTAGACGGCTGTTTCGTTATTGTGCATGAACTTTTGCATCTCCTCTTGTTCGTCGTTCATCTCTGTTGATCCTGCCGCGGTAAGATTTTGAAAGGCTTCCGCTGTGCTTGGCATCTAAAATGAGACTTTAGTTGTGGATAAAAAAATGGAGTACAATGACAGTTTAACAAATCGGACATGGACAGTTGGGCACAAAATGAACAAGCGCATGTCACGCTAACAATTGGGAAGCTATTCAATCATGAAAGTTGACACAAAACTTTATTATCATTGTTTCAGGAAGGCAGCATTCTCGATCGGTGGCTTTACATCGTAACGTGATTCGACGCATAATCGACATCATTCCAAGAACATCCGACAACGGTGATACCTAATCACTTATCCATTATCTACATGCCTGTGCTGGACAGGGTTAAAAATATTAGCGATTCAGAGCCTTGACCGTCTACTGTAACTATAAATTCTAAATTCCTTAATTATCATTTAAAACGATGTGACGCAACGTGTTATAAATCCCAATGGTAAAATTGAAATTGTACTATTCCTCAAGTAAGAGTATAAACTCTACTACTCACGTCTAATGTATGCAAAAGTTGAGCACTTACCTGGGCAATCTCCACAGGACACCCATATTCCTCCAACAAATAATTCTCTAACCAATCTTTTGTAATCGTCGATCCATCAGTAATCAGATGTGAGTGCGCCGCCATATTTTACACCAAATATTTCCGATTTCAAAGATCAAATGTAAAATTAAAGATGCTGTGATTGACTCAATAAGGGCTTCCCTTCCTCATGACCCCGCTTTTTATCAATTCTAAGCTGGTTATCACTTGACATACTTTGAGTAGTTCCCGCCGATTTTTAGCGATCATTCCCTCAGAGCAACAACAAGATAACCAATTTTATAAATATTTTCAAAAACAACCAATGACAAAAATTAATCAAGAAATGCCCAACAATAAAAAGTAGCAATCAAAATATAAAAATTAACGACTAGAGCGTCGCCGTGTTTATTTAAAACCACAAGAAACGATTCAACAAACAAATAAATTATAATCAAAATTAAACGTACTTAACCCGTCCTATGAAGCTGCTTGAAGAGAAGGAGAACCCTCTTGGCCAGGGACATCTTTTGGAATGAAGTCGTAAGTCTCTTGTTGCACAATCCCGTAGTAATCAAGCACCTAAATATATCCTAATAATACTAGTATGTGCAAAACCAACCCTGTGGCATATCTCTTCAATCATCTCAATTGGGAGATTTGTCACATATTCGTCCCACCTAAAACGAATAAAAAACTCGAAGAAAAAGTAAACCTACCATTGGTCTTTCACTTTTTGCTCCAGTTTATGCATCGTGAGTGAGAGTCGGCAGAAGGCTATAGCGATAATCTAAATTATAAATTGAAATATTAATTACTAAAACAGTTAAATGTTTTAAAATGGCTTACTTGCGGTTCCCAGCATAGTGAGATTATTGTGCCAAGCGAATCGTTGATAAAAGTCCAACCTGTTTGCACGATCTGTTTGGTGTCGTCGTGTGGAAACTAAAAAAACAATGTAAAATACTTCCAACATAAAGATGCCAACAAAAAAATACAACTCACTCCAAATTTGTTAACATAGCTGAGGAGATATTTGTATGGATGGTCGACAAAGAGATCGAAGTTAAGCGTTTTCAGCAATATCCTTTCTATGCCCATCACTTCGTCCTTAAGATTTTGAAGCTTATAAATGATTTTAAAAAACTTGCTACCTGCAAATTTCTGTGCTTATTGTAGAGTATGTCGAATCGAGTTTTTGCCAAAACGACCAAATCACGGCACTTCTTTGGCGTTTCCTCGACTTTTCCTGCCAAAAATAAACACCCGAGCGCGGTGAGCTAGAAAAGGAATTTAAATATCATATTTTGCTGCTACTAACCTCTCGTGGGAAATCTTGAAACTTTTGAACCATGTAGAAACGATGAAAGAAAACGGCTGCAGACGCGAGAGTCGGATTTGTCTTTCTTAACCAAAGTTTTTTCCAAAGAGATAGAATAAAAACTAACAGCTTTAATTGTTTTCCGATTTCCATGATTATCTTGACTCCTTCGCGGCGCAATCTTGCCTCGTCCTTTAATTCCATACCTAAACAATGTATTTTTTAAAAATTACTCGTTCCTGGTTATAAATGACAGAATCGGTGTATAGTTAGGTACATCTTATCCATCTAACCACTCCAATTTTCTACCTATCTAAGTATTCTAACCTTCCATGTTTTCGATTTTATTACAAAAAATAAAAACAATCCACCTGCTTTTCGCGAAGGCGTAAACTTTACGTCTTCTTCGCTCCAAAACCAATCGCGAGGTATTTGTGCCATCTAGAAAAAAAATTAGCAATGTAAAGAGCCAGCTGAAAACGATTGACAAGGAAAAAAAACGCGTTGGAATGAATGGGGTTAAAATGAACGAAAGGAAGAGGGGAATTGTGCATTCGTGTTGTCACAAACTACCGCTAAACTACACAACACCATCGATCAATAGAGTGAGAGGCGAGGAGGTGTGAGAAGGAGAACGCGCAAAAGAATCATAAAACTAGTTTTGCGCGTTAAAACTTAAAACTTACACAAGTTTTGAAGAAAGAGCAAGGCGAAGGACTACACACCCAACTAAAATGGGGTTTTTTCGGTGGCCCTTTAAACTATTTGGGGAACCTAATTAAAAGATATTCAGTCAATCTCCTAAATATTACTGTTTTTGCTTTAAGAAGTCTATAAAAGTGAATGTAGCATTGCTGTTATTTTTCACCGACTAGCACGAGATTTCATCGCTTCTGGTTATGTATTGCTGTTTTTTTTGAAAGCTTTTAATAGGTTCTTTTTTTCCAAACTTATCCAATGTCCAATTTTATCTTTGATTTAACTGTTTTTATAGAATTCTTTTTTTTCTACTTCTAGATGTCAATGACAGATGAAGAAGCGAAGGATCCACCGGCTGTTCAACAAAGTTTTCTCATCTTTGACGGGGCCTCTCTCCTCTACGTACTCACCATTTTTCTAACGGTAAATATTTAATACCGCACTTAAGATTTCAAACGCTTATAAGTGATACTTAACTCTAATTTTAGACGATCATTATCATGGGAATCTTTGCGAAACGACAAATTGTACGACACCGAGTGAATTTTTCTAGGAAGTAAGGCTTTGCATAAAGTTACACGGTTTAATTACATGAATAAATAAGTTCCGAAAGTTACTATTTATTTTAGGGTGCCGGAGGTTAGGCTAAAAGCTATTGCACCAAAGAAAGTTTGTGATCGAGTGAATGAAAAGCTAGAACAGGTAATATTTTTGATATAATTTAACGATTTTAAGATGTTGCTTAATTTAGGTACAAAAACTTCGTCAGTCGTACTTGCCAAAGTTGACGGATTGTTTAGCGATACAATCTCGTATATTTTTAAGATACTGTATCAATGAAGTTTGCGTTTAGATAACAAAAAGCCTTATCTTCAACGAATGATAGCATTAGATGAAATAACAATGGGCATCGGTACTTTATAAAATTTAATTTTTCATTGTATTAACCGCATAGATGATACAATGACACGAATCAATACGGACTATGCTCGTTTACCCGGAGAAACCACTTACAAGTATTTATTGCGACTAAAGGTGAATTTTGAAAAGACTAACAATATTTATTTTTTTGCTATATTCAGAAAGATGTACTTCCGGGGCTTTCAATAGCTCTTGTGCAAAGGATAGCATATCTCCATGAGTCAGCGCGCTATCGGCCAGAGGTTTTAATGGTTTTCTAACTTTTTCTATTTTTTCCTTTAGAGATTTGATGTTCCAGAACTAATGGAGTTAAGATCGTTGTTGGCACAATTCCTGAAAATGTAAGTTATTGATTCATGTCAAAGCGATATCGACCTTGAACGACCCTCTCTTCTATCTCACTTCATTGTTTACTCTGCCGCGACCTTTTATCGGCTGTCAGGCTTACATTTGTTTTGATAGCAAGGTTTTAGAGAAAACTAAAATCAGTTTTAAATTTCTCTACATAAATTTGTTTTAGAGTAAACAGCAACGGGTCAAAAATAACACCTCAAACACCGGAGAAGACACCAAAGGGACCGCTGAGTCAATGGAGAGTCATTGGCAGTGGAAACAAGAGGCAAAGACGGACACCTTTTGGAGGAAGTGACGGTAACTTTTATTATTTGAAGATTACTAAGCTATTGGATTTTTTCATATTTTGATAAATTCTAATTGAATTTCCTGAAGAAAAATTACTTCAAGATTGAGAAGATAAACGTTTTGCATTGGGGTCAAAAGTAGGTATAATAATAAAAAATCATTTAGGTGGTCGATTACTCGTACAATCTGGATATGTGACGAACAATCGTGGCGCAGGCATCGAAGAACAAATCGCTCTTCTTCCAATCGGATCAAGCAGCACTGAGGCAACTCCAAAGAAGCACGTTCGACACCAAAGCGATATGCCACAACGATCAAAAGAAATTTAGTTTTTTTTTGTTGTTTTTGTACAGTTTTTTAAATTGCCATCTTTTGAAGCTTTAAAAAGTCTTCGGTTGTTAACTTTGTACACGTTGACGGGTTTTGTGAATAAATTTATCTACTTATTAATCTAACGAAAATTTGTTGGTTTTGACCCAAAGCCTATTTACTTAAATTTCGACTTTTTTGTATGGACTCATTGTCAGTTTTAGGGAGAGATTCAAATTGGCGGTCGTTTTCACATAGGTGGTCGCATTCTGCACAGGTAATTTTTTTGAAACTATTTGCTTGCATGACTTATTTACTTTTCATTTTTTTAGACAATGGAATTGGTTCTCGCGGCAACTCCACCGCCGCTGCCGCTATTTGCAGCGAACTTCTCGGTTGTTCCAATCGGCAAAGTAGAGCCACTTGCCACTTCTCCACCATTTCTGCTCAATGCTACGACAAGGCCGAGTATCAGAAAAGAGGTTTGTTCTAGAACTGTCCATTTTTGGTCTGATTATCAATAGGTGTACAACGGAAAAACTAGATCTGACCACTACAACGGCTAATTATTGTGGTTTTTTAGACCAAAAGATAGAGCTTGAAAAATTCTACCTTCATGTAGCAAGAAATCCTGAAATGGGTCGAATCTCGTTTTCCGTTGTGCACCTATTGAGAATCAGATCGAAAATGAACAACGCTAGTTTTTTTTGGTTAATGCTGTCTTTTCAAAGATATTATAACATCTGAACTATATTGTTGTTAGCAGGTTCCAAGGCCGCCAGCACTACCACCGAACAAGCCTGACTTGAATAGCGGTTTGCTCCACTTTTTATTACACAACAAAATATTTTAGGCGGATTACACATAGACTTCAAAGGAATGCTTGACTCGACGATTGATAGTGCAAAGGATCTCTTTGGCGACATGTTTGGATTGAAGTTTCTAAGAAACAAATTTTCTGATTTATTTGCATTTTAGCGCTGAATGTCTTAACGGAGGGAAAAGGATCTCAGGAAATAAATGCGAATGTACATACGGGTACAGAGGTAAAAACTTCGAAAACATCACTGTCAAAATCATATTTTAAGGTTCGCGATGTGAGGAAATTACTTGTGAAAATAACGGTATTCGTCGTCGCGTTGAAAGACAAAAACCACCACAATTCGTATGCAGGTATGCTGCGCTAGGTAGTTGTTTAGTTCTAGTTTCTTTTAGTTGTCCGCACCCAGAATACATCACGGGTAAACACTGTGAAAAGGTCGTTTGTCTGAACAACGGAAGCTGGAGTGTTCAAGAACAGATGTGCATTTGCGATGAACAGTGGTATTATGGAAAATTTTGCGAGGTGATTATTTTTTCTAAACATAAACAATAATTTTAGGGGAAACGTACTCATCTACCGTTTTTAATCGGAATTCCACTGGTTATAATTGCTTTCATTCTTCTAATGTGCTACTTGTGCAAGTGAGTCTTTAACATTTTTATTTTGCTATAATATGTTTTATTACCTTTTTGTCTGTTTTAGAAAAGACTGGTGCCCTCGTCAACCTCGACGCGGAAGACACGGTATGTACAGAAACGGAGAAGCACAGTCAAGGCGACGTCCAGTGAGTTCAAATTTTTTACATATCAAATTACAATCTTGGATCGGAATAGTGAAAGTATTTTAGATTTCAACCAATAGAACTCCTCGTACTCGAGCGCATGCAACCGGAATACTAGTACAAGTAAGAGAAAATAGCTTAACCCATTAATCTTTTTCATTAAGGAACACTTACTGGGCGAAGAAAGGGGTGCGCCAATGCGATCTCCCGCCTATCCACCAGGAATCGTGCCTCCATTTGTGATTCGACTTGACACGATTCCAACATTCAATCCCGGAATGGTTGGCGGAGTCGATCCGGCTGGGGCGGGAATGACTGCACTTGAATTGATAAAAGAGGTTTGTGAGCTGTGTTTTGCGTAGATCTTTCAAGTTAAACATTAACCGTTTATTTTCAGATCGAACCTCCTCCCTCATATGATCAGGCGATGGCTGTTCCGCGTCCCCCTGCTTACACCGCTTCACCACGGTAAGGTTTATTTTGCTAGCATTACTTTGTTTTTAATTATAGTGAATCGCAAGTTGTTGGGCATTCAACCCGTGGAACTCCACCACTTCCAACAACGGTTCCGCCAGTAGCACCACCGAGTAATTTAACGGCAAGATCTTGTAAGATATTTTTATTAAATTTTGCAATCATCTAAATATTTACTCAATCAATGCACTCGTTGCAGCTCCATCATCCAACTCAAACTCGAACGGCTCGTCGGCTTCAAGCTCTAATCACCGGAGATAGCAAATGGTGATGGGCTTTCTCAATTTTTCATACTTGCTGTACATAATATTTATAAATCAATTTTGCGCTTTCCTTTTAGCCACAATGCGTACTTATCATCGATTTGTTTGTTTTCATTTTGTTAAGAGCTGTGATCACAAAATGATTTCTTTCTCTCAGCTATATTCTCGTATTATTTTTCTTTGAAAAACAGGGTCATTTATTCAGTGGAATAATCTTTGCCAATATTCTTTCTCTCAATAGATATCAGTTTGATTTCGTCTATGAGTGCTAACCGTTTCGATTCCCAAAGATTTCACGGACATATTCTCTACTTAATTCCTTTATTAGACATGCAATTGATAGGTTTTGCAATTTCTGTGTTATTGATTGAAAGATTAATTTTGTGTGGGATAAAATATTTAAACCGTTCATATCACACAGGGAAGTTAGTAATTTGGCAAAGAAAATACAAGTCAACGAAAAAGAAACAAGGAAAGAGCTACGTTCCTCAAGAAACTTACTGAAAGACCCAAAAACATGAAGAAGGCCAGCCGAGAGAAGTTTGGCCCAGAGAAGTGCTCAATTATTCAGTGAGGAAAAAGAAGAAGGGATTCGATGAGGATTGAGTGAGTGTTTCTCCCCTAAATCCCCCTCCTTCTTTCTTTCTTTTCCCCAATTTTCCCAACTTCTCATCCTCTCAAAAAACTAAAGGAGAGACAGCTCCCTCCCCTCCTCTCTCTACACCGATTATCCCATAAAACCTTTCCGTGTATTCTTTGTCTGAATACTTTTACTTTACAAGGGCAAATATTAAATACGGAAATAATCTTTGTTTTCGAAGATTTTGAAAATAGCTAATACTCATCACTAAACTTTTTCGAAGAAACTCTGCCTCTATCTCTTTCCTATCCAACTCTCTGAATAATAAAAGAACTTCTAGAGATTTCTTCCAAGAAAATATCTTTGCAAAAAAATCTGTATTCATTTAATTCATCCGCAAGCGAAAATGAATGGCCTACGATTTTTGACGGGAACTTCAGAAATGGGGGATCAGGTTGGTGGAGGATTTTAGAGAAAATAAAAATTCTAAAGCTTTCTTGATCCTATTAACTTTTAAGGTCAGAATTTTTTTAGGTGCATGAGTTTCTGTTGGACCATTTTCGCGTCATGGAGCCGATCACAACGAGCATCAGTTTGTGACTTTGGAAATAAAAATGATGGCATTTTGAAGAAAAAAATTTAGAAGAGACCTTAAAAAAGCGAAAATAAGATTCCTTTCGATCTTACCCCTTTAATTTTTGAGTTTGAGTTCATCAAAATTCAGAGGCATCACGGGATGATGTCTTCGAGTTTTTCATCGATTTACGTGACGGCGCATTGAAAAATGAAAAGCACTCAATTGTGGTTTATGATGAAAGTGAGGAATAGAAGAAATTTGTAAAATCAAATAATTTAGATGATGAATTGGTTGGGATTTCCCTCAATTATGTCAAAGAGATCGACGAGAATAAGGAGAATTTCGAAGAAATCGAACCATTCAATCCACATAAAGATTATCAAGATGGTGAGCTAAAAGCTAGAAAAATTTCAAAAAATTGTTACAGAAATTCAAACGGGAGCCTATGAATCGAAAAACGCGAATCGCTTGGTGACTTTTGTGGAAAATGTCGAGAATCGTGGGTATTGAGGGGGGAAATATGCTGACAAATAAACAAATAAAAAAAAATCCAACAATCCACCTCTTTTTCAATCTCCTTTTGAATTTTTTTTTTCGTGCCCTAGCTACAGTCACCCAAACCATCAAGAGCTCAAAAAGGAGTGGTTTAGTCACGTCTTACGGTTCTAAACATACAAATTCTACAATTCTACAATTCTACAATTCTACAATTCTACAATTCTACAATCCAATTCTACAATCCAAATTCTAGATCGAAATCTTACCTAAACTGCTAAATCTTTTAACCCAGAAACCCTAATTCCAAATGATTTGGCAAAACGAGAATAACAAGCTTCGAGGCTGGGTTGGATTGACTGGTTTATAGAGACGTTTAGATTTTTGACAACTTTATCGGTGATATGAAAGGCAAAGAAGTCCGAAGAAGAAAAAAAGTGGAAAAACCGGGAAAAGTACAGAAACTCTAAAACTTTAACAATTTTAAAAGAAACAGGGAAAGAGCGGTGAAAACAATAAAAGGAGGAGGGAAAATTTAACAATAAACAATAATTTTACGGGGGAATAGAGAAAGGGAACATACGCACCCAAAAGAAACGGCAAAGCGCCATACCCGTCAACGATTTTTTAAAAGAATGAATTTTGAGGGGATAGGGCTTCGGCGGAAAAGTGGGACGCCGTCTCGACTACGGTAGCTTGGGTGTATTTTAGAATTTAGGGGGCTGGCAAGTTGCCAACACGAACTGCGGGAATTTGGGTTTATTCTTTATTGGATTTTATTCAATTTTCCACGTCATTAAGCTTTTTAAGCTTAAAGCTATGATACTATGATATTCTTTTAAACATTTCAAAGTAAGTTTACCTTTTTTTGTAGCCGAGAGTTGACAAATTAAGTACTTAAGTAAAACTGGGAAATCGTGAATCGAATTTGATTTCAGATTTGGTTCCACTTCTTACAAAGCTCGATCATCGACACCGTCGGGTTGAGCGAATCTTTAAGATTGATGTTATTTGTGTGCACCCTTCGATGAAAGGGTTTGGATTTTAAGAATTGCTTCATTGACGAATAAGGAGTTGAAGTAGTAGTCATAAGTCAATAGAGGAGTTGAAGTCGTAGTCATCAGTCTATTATTGTAAGAAAAGCTTGAATTAGTAGTGATGGCTGTAAATCAAGATCAACCAGGGTTCGATTGAAGACTGGGCTTCAGGACAAGTCAGGCATCTACCTGAACTCGGCCTGCATAAATTGGATTTGATCCAACCCTGAGCTTGATCGATTTTAGGCATACGGCTTGACGAGAATTAAGCGATTGGGAAAAGGTAAAATTATCAAGATCTGATTGGGCTTCAATCAACGAGGGTTCGATTGAAGCCTGGGATTTAGGACAAGTCCAGAATTGACCTGAACTCGGCCTGCATTAATAATTCTCGTCAAGCCGTATGTCTACGATAAAATCAATCAAGCTCAGGGTTGGAAAAAGTAAAAATGAAAAGCAATGAGCGGACTCGAACCAGGGAGGCTCGCTCAGGAGTGGTAGTCGTTGTTTATGAAGTGCTTGACTCGTAACGAAAAATAAATGTACTTTTTGGCACTTTTTTGACACCTTTTACTCAAGTAAACCTTTCTAGGAAAGGTTTGGCGAAAGAGTTGATGAAGAGAATCTTCGAGAAAGCCGTTGAAGCTGATTGTGATGTTGTGGCCGCATGTGCAACGGCACAAGCAAGTCAAGCAATCTTCAGAAAAGTAAAGAAAACTGTGAATTGTTTTGTTTAATTGTTTAATGTTTTCCAGTTTGGTTTCGCAACAATTCGCGAGGTTCCATTTTGGTGTTTCCGCGAGAATCATCTGCCGATTTATCGCGATCTTTCCGATAAAGGATTAAGCGGGAAATTGATGGCAAAATGGATTAAATAAAGAAAATATTATCAAAGCTTTTAAATTATTATCATAAAAAATTAATATCACTAAAATTGAGCATAATAAATGTTGAAATTTTGTTAGGAAAATGGGAAAAAGTTATTGAGGTTAAGATTTAGTCACAATGTTAACACAAGAAAATTTCTAAATTTGATCAAACCAAAATCCTACCACGAAAGAGGAATCCGCAAATTGCCTGTAAAATGGGCAGAAGTCGTCAATAATAATCAATAATTCTAGATTTGATCAATTTTTAGGCTAATAACTTGAAGAAAAGTTTAGATTAAGGTGAAAATTTTGTTAAAAAAAAGCTAAAGCTGACTAAAAACCGGCAAAAAAAAAGATTGAAATTGCACTGAAAGAATCAAAATTTAAATAGATATACAATTAGAGAAAAGACAAAAAAAAGAGATCACAATGAAACATTAAGAAAAACGGACTAAGGCTGAAAATAGACAAAACAAGTGACTGGGGCTTTCCGGTGTTCACAATAAATCGGTGACGTGACAACGATGTACGAAAATGACGATCGACTACAAATGACATCCGGAGATTTCTCATCGAAAGCCGCCCTCACCGCCGAATAAACCAATTGTTTTGACGTTGATGGAGAGGAGGACATTGACTGGAAATGCAAATGAGAAGTGCATTGGCAAAACTACCGTACTCCTTAACATCGACAAGTTTCTTAAGACTTGCCTCGAGTTTTATTCAATCTACTAGCCGAAAAACCCCTAACGACGGGTTTTTCACCCCTGGATATCTGCAGGCGATTTTTGTCGCCGTGGTGCAGTCGGGAGCACGCTGGCTTACAGCCTGCACGGTCCGGGTTCGATTCCCGGGTGTTTCACTCAACTTTGGTTTTTAAAAACTTTTTTAAAATGGCACAACTACAATATATTCTAAGGTTTTCTAAAGAAGTTTTAGCTTTATTTGTCCCGTACAGACAGACAGACAGACACTGCTTTTTTTTATATATGTCGTAGCCGATTATGAATGAAATTTTTTGGCAAATCTTTCTAGTAGAGCAACCCTTTAATGTAGGAGGACAATATTATATCATTTTGTAGCGAATTGAATTCTGCGTCGATTGGTACCAAATTTGTGAGTTTAGGTTAAAAATTGCCGGCGCTACAACGTTTCATTCAAAATCGGCGGGACCCCCGTAGCCGATTATGAATTTCAGCCGATTATGAATGAGTGGGTCTAGGAGCGTCCAACCATCAAGTATTTGGTATCATTCAACGCAGAATCATTGATAATTATGTTAAATTTTTGAAATTAGAAAGATTGAATAAAAAAGAACACCAAATTATGGGGCTTCAAAGTTTTCCCTTAAAAAAAAACGGTTTTTTTGCCCCTAATTTTTTTCTTTTTATCCAATCTTTCTAATTTAAAAAATTTAACATAATTATTAATGATTCTGCGTTGAATGATACTAAATACTTGATGGTTGGACGCTCCTAGACCCACTCATTCATAATCGGCTACGACATATACACATTTGATATCTTTTAACTTGCATTTTAACTTCATAGAATAGGTTTATTAAAGAAAACTAGAGATTATGGTTGTTTTCAAAAGTGTTCACGTTTTCGAAATGCAGGAGAACAAGCTCTAATTGTGAAAAATAGGTTTTACATCAAGTTTGACATAAATAATTCCAAGCCAAGTTGCACCCACTTGGAAAACTTGTAATGGTGATGTTATTCAGTAAAAGATGATTCAATAAATGATTTAGTACCAATTCTACGCACTCCACTCACTCAAATGGCTCGAGCAAAGCAACAAAATCATAGCTAATATAAATTTTGTCAAACAGTCAAACATTTTACCTAGCTAGTGAAATATTCTTGGATCAAAAATTGGCTAACTAGATGCTCCGCTTGTTTCATTTGATCCTCCAAACAATATTTGAAACGGAAAATTGAAAGCTATTGAAAGCTAAAAGAAGTAGAACAAAAGTCAAGCTCTCGACTCGAACCCTAGAGGATCCCCATTGGTCCTTGCCTTGTATTCAAGCCAACTACCACTCGGACAGCACGACATCCCTCCAATCCCTTGGTAAGCCAAGTTATAAACTCCAGGTCTGTTTTCTGCGATTTCATACATAACTTTTGACAGAGTGCTGTGTTGCAAAAACGGAAAGCAGATTCTAAGTTGGTTAGTCACTTGGCCATTTGCTCATTTGGCCATTTGGTCATTTGGTCATTTGACCATTTGACCATTTGACCATTTGACCATTTGACCATTTGGTCATTTGACCATTTGGTCACTTGGTCATTTGGTCATTTGACCATTTCCCATTTGACCATTTCCCATTTGACAGGCCATTTGGCCCCTGTTCAAATTCTCTTGTCAGTTTTTGAACACTAACTAGTAAACTCAATCCTCACCTGGTGCATCAACGATCTCAACTTATCCGATGCGCATTTCGATGGATGTTCTCGTTTCATTTTCTGCGGTTTTCTCAATGATGGCAATGCATATTCCTTAAATAAGAATGGGCAATAGATTTTAGAGAAATCAATCGTGTATCCCAAGCATACTTTATATGACGGTGATGAGAAATGAGTGGATGTGGTTGTTGCACTTAGTGATTCTCCGTCTTTCTCAAAGCTTCTCCCTGCAAAGGGTTTACCAAATGAGCCAATATTTTGTTGACTATTTGATTTTGATTTTCTTTCTTTCTCTAGAGTTAAATATACTGTAATTAATAGAATTTTGTTCGAAAAATCACCAAAACTCGATCCGAGTAAATCATCGTAAATCTCCATTTCCTCATTTGTCATTTGACCTTTTTTCTAAAACAATTTGAATTGAAGAATTGAATTGAAGAATTGAATTGAATGATTTGAATTGAATGATTTGAATTGAACAATTGGGATTGAACAATTTGAATTGAACAATTTGAACTCATCAATTTGAATTGAACAATTTGGATTGAACAATTTGAATTCATCAATTGGAATTGAACAATTTGAATTCATCAATTGGAATTGAACAATTTGAATTCATCAATTGGAATTGAACAATTTGAATTCATCAATATGAATTGAATAATTTGAATTCAACAATTTGAATTCAACAATTTGAATTCATCAATTAAAATCTTTCTTTCTTAAATCTTTCTTAAAACCCAACTCACTTTATTTCCTCCTCCTTCTGATCGCAAATTTAAACTCTCAAAAGATTCGTTGTTCATCTGAACGTTTAGATTTTATCTTTATTTAAATTTATGTAAGTTTTGGATCTTTTTGCTAGGCTTTACTACTGAAATAAAGTATATTTATTATTATTATTATTTATCTTTCAAAACCTGTTCTTTCAAAATCGATAATCCGTCAGCGAAAATCTCATTTTTCTTCACCGATGGATCGTTGAATTGAGAGGTTTTTTGAAGACTTGAACTAAAAAAATGTCTTTATTACATCTTGTAGTTCTTTTGAAGGCTATCGGACATTTGATACGCGCCCCGCCCCTTTTCCCTTCAGCAATTCAACTTTGAACTCAAATTTCTTGGTGTTGAGCTGTCCAATTTCAATATTCTTGATATCATTGGATGCGTCAAGTCTTTCTCTATCGATTGGTACGAAAACTATTTCAATTAAACAGCCCAACACCAAGAAATTTGTGCTCAAAGTTGGATTGGCAATGAGAAAGAAGCGGGCGGAAGCTATAAAAGGTCCGTCGCCCCGCCCCTTTTTCCATTAGCAATTTAACTTTGAGCTGAAATTTCTTGGTGTTGAGCTGAGCAATTTAAATAGTTTTTGTACCAATCGACAGATCAAATGCCCCAGAATCTCTTTTAAATGCCATAAATTTAAATCAATCACTCACTGCTTTGTTTTAACAGGCTTCATCGCTTCACTCAACCCTCCATCCTCGTAATCAATCGCTCCTTTTCTCATTGCTAACTCGAATTTCTCTTCCGATGTCAGTGTATCGGTTCGAGGCAACTGAACACGATTATCAGGGATCAGGGAAGGGCAAAGGCAAGGCAAAGCAAGGACAAAGCAAAGCAAGGACAAAGCAAAGCAAAGACAAGCTAGTAATACATATTATATATTCAAAGATAGAGTTGAATAGGTCTTTAATTCGACTCATGGCCTGAGATGGGCTGACCTAGTCACATTAGTTAGTTAGATCTAGTCTAGACTGACATAGTTCTAAATCTGACAAGGAAAACTTCCGAACTTCCGATCAGAACATTCTTTGAGTATTTTTGTTGAGTCAACTGTTGTCTAATAGCTGTCAAATCGTTTTGAGAGACTAGATTTTCCCAAAAAAAAACTCATCAAATTTCCTTTGATCTCGTTTACAGACTTACTCTAACTTGTTGATTTTGAAATGTGTCATCTTTGTATCCATTTTGAGGATTTGGCTCGTCAACTCTAAAAGGATAAAGTAGAAAATTTTTGTTTCCTTTTTTTTTTTTTCCATTTCCTTACGCAGATTTTTCCACCGATTCATATGATTCATAGGAGTCTGTCTGAGGATTCGAAAAGCCTGAAATAGTTTAGATGATCTCAAATCCATTCATTTTTATCCCAATCTGTCAATTTTCACCTCCATCATTTCGATTTAGCATCTCTTCATCGTAACTCTCACCATCCGGCTGTTCGACTCTGAAAAAAAAAGAAGATAAGATCCAATGTTTCACAAAAATTTCAAAAACCCATTTGTTTGTCCTTTTGAAAGAGTCGCTTCGGTCACCGATTGTAAAGCAGCTCCGTTTTCGTTTTCGTTTCGTTCATACTAAATGATTATTTGACGAAATTACAATTTCAAGCTCAATATTGAAGATAAATCTTGAAAGCATTGTTCAAATTTGCATGAGAATCAGCAAAAGCTTGTAGCTTGTAGCAAAAACATCTATCGATCCTTTGCTGTTGGCAATTTAAGATTTTTCTGGTTTTTCTCAGCACCAACCCTTCGATTTTGACTATTGTGACTATCATTTGATGCAGAATAAAATTGCGCATCGAATGGTACCAAAACCAACTCAGAATGTAATATCCATGTAAAGTTGTGAGGCAAAAGGCCAACCTCTGCCCATAAAGAGCGGGCTTTAGGTTTTTAGCCAACAACTTTGCATGGATATTATATTTTGAGTTGGTTTTGGTACCATTCGATGCGCAATTTTATTCTGCATCAAATGATAGTCACAATAGTCAAAATCGAAGGGTTGGTGCTGAGAAAAACCAGAAAAATCTTAAATTGCCAACAGCAAAGGATCGATAGATGTTTTTGCTACAAGCTACATTCTGCATCGAATGATAGTCAAAATCGAATGGCTGGTGTTGAGAAAAATCTTAAATTGCTCGCAAAAAGATGTTTTCTGACAAATGTTTTCGTTAAAGTCTAGCAACGACTACGCGACTGTACGCCTTAAATTCCGTCTGAATGTGTTAAACTAAACCTGAATCTCTGAAGGAAAAGTGGTTGCCGGTTGTTGAATGAATTGCGGAGGAGAATAAGGAGGAGACTGTGATGGAATTGGAAGAGGTGGAAGTGGAAGAGGTGGAAGTGGAAGAGGTGGAAGTGGAAGAGGTGGAGGCGGAAGAGATGATCGAGGCGGAGATCGGTTCTGTCAAATTTCAGAGGTTTTTATCAAATTTCTTTTCCTTTTCATCTAAGCAAGTGATTCGACTCGGATGTAATTATTTTCAAAGACAACTCGCGCAGACAACTCGCGCAGACAACTCGCGCAGACAACTCGCGCAGACAACTCGCGCAGACAACTCGCGCAGACAACTCGCGCAGACAACTCGCGCAGACAACTCGCGCAGACAACTCGCGCAGACAACTCGCGCAGACAACTCGCGCAGACAACTCGCGCAGACAACTCGCGCAGACAACTCGCGCAGACAACTCGCGCAGACAACTCGCGCAGACAACTCGCGCAGACAACTCGCGCAGACAACTCGCGCAGACAACTCGCGCAGACAACTCGCGCAGACAACTCGCGCAGACAACTCGCGCAGACAACTCGCGCAGACAACTCGCGCAGACAACTCGCGCAGACAACTCGCGCAGACAACTCGCGCAGACAACTCACCATTTGTGCGTATTGTGGTTGTTGAGCTGGTTGGAGAATCGGTTCAAGCATTCTATAGGTTTGAGGCATAGGATTGAATTGCACGAGCTAAAGTGAAAATTGTAGACAAAAAATTGTAGACAACTTGTCCAAAAGCTTGTCCAAAGACTTGTTAAAAAGCATTTACAAAGATTTACCGGTCTAAGCGGTGAATAGGTTGCGGAAAAATGTTGCTGTTGTTGCTGTGATTGGGCTGGTTTGGCATAGAATTGTCTCGGAAATGGGATTTGTGGTTGTTGAATTGGGTATGTGGATGGAGATAGATATGGAGGACTTGGCGGGGGGTAGAAACGTTGAGAATATTGTGGGGAACCTGTAAAGATGAGGGTGGGAAATGAAAGGCTTGAATTTTTCGATGTTTAGTCGGCTTTTTACAAGTTTTCCTCCAAAAAACCCAAATCATAAGGTAATAATTTTTTGATTTAAATAAGAATAAAAAGAAATGAGGAAGCTTTACTTGAAAGCTTGAAAAGAAATTCGAATCGACTTTAAAAACAAACCTTGACAACTCGGGCAAAACATTTGACAGGGTTGAGTCGACGGTTGAGCCGAGCACGATTGAGGACACTGAAAAGTGGAAATGAAGAGGTTGGATTAATATTAGAAAGCTGTCTGTTTGTTGTGTTTGTTTATTAGAATATGATTACCGTAAATACCGTAATAGTACCCCACCTCCATAATGACGGTGCGGAGCGTTAGGTAGTCTAGCTTTGAACGAGTTTTTCTTGAGACTGGTTTATGCTACAATGTTCGCTTAGGTATCAAAAAATAGCCCTGAATTTCAGCTATTTTTTGATACCTAAGCACGAATTGTAGCACAAACCAGTGTCGAGAAACATTCGTTCAAAGCTAGACTACGCAACCCTGTATAATATTATATTATAGTCTAGCTTTGAACCTTTTTCCTTAAGGATTTTCTTTTTCTACTTTCTTCAAGCTTTTAACAGAGAGGAGATCAAAGTGTGGAAAGAAAAAGCAAAAAAGGGGAATGTACAATGGAAGAAGAAGCTAATCGTAAATGAATAATATACAAATGAAATACCGTACGCTTGAATAGAGCTCAGAGTTTACGGTGCGGAGTGTTGCGTAGTCTAGCTTTGAACGAGTTTTTCTTGAGACTGGTTTATGCTACAATGTTCGCTTAGGTATCAAAAAATAGCTGAGATTGAGGGCTATTTTTTGATATCAAAACGAACATTGTAGCCTAAACCAGTGTCGAGAAAAACTCGTTCAAAGCTAGACTACGCAACACTCCGCACCGTCATCATGGGGCTGGGGGAATATTACAGTATTTACGGTATATTATAATATTATAATTATAAACGATATAATATGTAGTTTTTTTAAGTCTCGAAAACTTTCTCACATCACATCCACCGCCAAAAAGATCGCTGAAAAAAGGGCCGAGCATTGCGCGAACACGGTAGAGAAGAATCAAGAATAACAAGAAATCGGGACGCATTTTGAAGAAATATTAGTTATTGTAAAGAAATATTGTTCGCGTGCTTGGTAATCTTCACTCTTCACACGTTATTTCTTGTTTCGAGATATCTGATCTCACTTGAACTACTAAATAAAAACATTTTATTCAATAGCCGACTGACTCGGAAACTTTGGGCTCTCACTTGAGCAATTTTCACACAAGATCGACAATTGAATTAAAAGCGACGATAAAAACAGAAAAAAATTTCGTCCTAATTAGGACAAAACTTTCACACGATGAGAGGAAAGCAGAAAGAAAATGAAAGATAACCGAACCAAATGAACAACAGTTGCCTTATATATGTCGTAGCCGATTATGAATGAAATTTTTTGGTAAATCTTTCTAGTAGAGCAACCCTTTAATGTAGGAGGACAATATTATATCAATATTTATGAATTTCAGCCGAGTATGAAATGAGTGGATCTAGGCACGTCCAACCATCAACTATTTGGTATCATTCAACGCAGAATCATTGATAATTATGTTTGTATGTGGAAAATATTATATCATCTTGTAGCGAATTCAATTCTGCGTCGATTGGTACCAAATTTGTGAGTTTAGGTTAAAAATTACCGGCGCTACAACGTTTCATTCAAAATCGGCGGGACCCCCGTAGCCGATTATGAATGAATGAGTCTAGGAGCGTCCAACCATCAAGTATTTGGTATCATTCAACGCAGAATCATTAATAATTATGTTAAATTTTTAAAATTAGAAAGATTGGATAAAAAGAACACAAATTATGGGGCTTCAAAGTTTTCTCTTGAAAAAAACAGTTTTTTTGCTCTAATTTTTTTTTCTTTTTATCCAATCTTCCTAATTTTAAAAATTTAACATAACTATTGATGATTCTGCGTTGAATGATACCAAATACTTGATGGTTGGACGCGTCCGGACTAGCTCATTCATAATCGGCTACATGTCGTAGCCGTTTACGAAATTCAGCCGCTAACGAATGAGGGGCTTCCGGGCATCCAATCAAAAAGTCACCCATATAAAAAATGTTCATAATACATATATTTTATAATAAATTTTTGAAATTAGCTCATTTGGTTCAGTAGAAAAATTTTTTTGAGCCCCCAAAGTTTAGATTCAAAAATCGCTATAAAAAATTTTCTACTCAGCCAAAAAACTTGCCTAATAGCTCATTTTGTAGCCAATTTGATGTAGTTTCTTAAAGTAAAGTTACATTAAACATTTGTTTTTCAAAGCTAGGAGAAAGAGGGCGAGGAACGACTTCAGTTGAACTCGGTCGCTGTTTTCACATTTGAGAATTGCCCTGAATTTGTTCCTCGCCCTCTTTCTCCTACTTTCGACGAAAAATTGTTTTAGATGGCTTTGCTCTAAGAAACTACATCAAATTGGCTACAAAATGAGCTATTAGGCAAGTTTTTTGGCTGTGTAGAAAATTTTCTACTGAACCAAATGAGCTAATTTCAAAAATTTATAGGCTACGACATATAGGCTTTAACCCAAGATACTCAGCTAACAAGCTACAAAACAATAAATGATTTGGGGGCGCGAAATCGAATGAAGGCGCACCGATTTCCTCAATATTTCTCTAATTTTTTAGGCTGCCAGAGTTAGGTAACTTTTTAGTGGCTGGATAGCCACTAAAAAGCCACAGTTATTATAATAATAATCTATTGTAATATTTTGAAGAAATGATCCGTGAAAGAGCTCTAAACAAAAGCTCATCGATTTCTTGTGAAAGGAATCGAAAACAAAAGGGAAAATCAATTTTCACATCAACATTTTCAAAAATCAATGCTGAAATGCTGCAAAAATCTCTTCATTTCTTTAATTGCTATTTCAAAAATAAAGAAACATGGTCAAAAATCAATTCGAAACACGAAAAAACACGAAAAAACACGAAAAAACAAGAATTTCAAGAATAATCTCGATTTTTGTTCCAGAAAATCAACGGTTTTCAAGAGAAAACCTTTTTAAACAAGATACAACCGTTGATTTTCGTTGAAAAGTCAAGTAAAAAGAAAACAATTATCGGTTGAAGTGAAAAAGAAAAGAAAACTGGATGATATGCGAGGATTGAGAAGGGGGAGAGGATGGGAATTTCAATGGGAAAGAGGAGATGAGATGGAATTGATACCATGAATCAAATCAAATTCTCAATGCTCATTTTCAATGCTCAATTCCAATGCTTTTAATGCATAGCAAGCTTATTTAAATTACAAAGTTATTTAAATACAAAGTTTGCTTAAAACAAAGTTTACTTAAAACAAAGTTTGCTTAAAACAAAGTTTGAATGTTTTGTTACTTAAAACTTTCGCAACTTACTAGTTTACTTAGTTACTAGTTTACTTAGTTACTAGTTTACTAGTTAAAAGTGAAAGAATGAGAAAGAGAAAGCGTTAGAGAAAGCGGAAAAGTTTGCAAATGCGGATTTGTCGAGGTATCGAATGGAGAAGTCGAAAAGAGAAAAGAGTCGAAAATCCAAAAATTAGTGGTCATCCGGTTCGTCGAAATGTCTGTCGAAACTTGTAAAAGTCTGAGAACTAACTGGATACATTTTTCAGACTTTTTGAAGCTTCTTCTCTTAAATAAAACGAGCCTCAAGCGGCATTACTATTCTTAATTTGATATAAAACAATATGATCATGAAAATGTTCATTTTTTCCTTAAAAACGGCTAGTTTTCTTTTCTCTAAACTTACAAAAATCAATTAAAAACAAGTTTTTAAAGAAATTTAAAGAAAATTATGAGAATTTAAAGTTTAGCTAGCGTAAATATTGTTAAAAAACAGGAAAATGAATGAAATAAAAGAATCTTCTATAAATAGAAGAATCAATTAATTATTTTTCGTTATCTAAACGCGCAGAAACAAACCTACTAATGACAAGATACGAGCATTTGTTTGAGTGTAAACTTAGACTACGCGACGCTCCTATAGGGGGGCTTCGGTTCTTTTCCGTTAAACATCGACAAAATCAAACCCCCAATCATTTCCTTTATAAAACCACCAAATTTGCATCCTACCATGAAAATGAGCAAGGAAAACCACGGAAAATTTCACTCTTTTGCTATTTCCTGACGACGCGGTGGATTCATGTTTCGCTTACCGACTACCGAGACCGATCCAATCTCATTCTTTCAACAACGCACATCCGCCAACCATCACGTTATGAAGATATCGCTGAATCAGAATCCCCGATGGGGATGTGACTGGACGACGTGCCGGACAGCGATCCGCCTGTGTGTTGGCTCATAGATGGAGGGCACCAAAATTCCGTTTCTCACAATCCTACGATTCATCTATGGATGGACTCAACAGTGGACCTCGATCGACTATTTTGTGAAAGAATTGAAGATGAATCACAACATCGCGGTCGACAAGAACAAGAAGCATCGGCACGTCATTTCCTATCGAGCTACCTCGCTGAATTCATCGACAAGAAGTGGGAAAGGACAATTTCTACAAATGGACAAAATGTCGCACTTTTTTTGTTGGATAGGCTTAGACTTAGATTTAGGCTTAGGCTTAGGCTTGGACTTAGGCTTAGACTCAGGCTGAGGCTGAAGCTTAGGCTTATGCTTATGCTTATGCTTATGCTTAGGCTTAGGCTTGGACTTAGTGCGAAGGCTAGCGGCTAGCGCCTCGCACAAAGTCTATTTGGGTTTGGGCTGAACCCCCATTTTCTGGATCTCAGCCGGTTTTAGGCTTAGGCTTAGACTTAGACTTAGGCATTTACATCGAAAATTCCCAGATCTACTAGTAGACTTTCCAAAATACAAATCCAAACCTAGATTGTTTCATTTTACAGAAAAAAAAAAGTCAAAAGAAACAATGAGAGGCTCAATTTTCCCTCCAGAACAGCACAATGGCATTGAATGAAAAAAGAAGAAGTACTTGATGAGTCTTTTCTCATCTCTTTTATTATTTCTTTTCATTCTGACCGAACCTTTTCTTTTTTTGCTTATAAACCGAGAAAGAATGAGTCAAAAAGAAAGAGAGACTAGTTCTGAGAAGAAATCGCATGAATTTGTGTGGATGAGTGTCGATTCTCTCGCTCTCTGAACC